GTCGCTAAATCTTCCATGGAAAGTCGCTAGCTATTATTCCCCCCCTTCAGTAATTTGATGCAAATAATATTTTCATAATGCCGACTATAATGGACGGAGTATAAATAAAATGCATTATGTAAAAATAAAAATATTATTTTTTTTAAAGTTTAATGTGCACACTTACCTATTATTCAATAGTAATTGCATCCCAGTCCTCTTCGTAGTCGTCGGTAGTGTGAACAACTATAGAGCTGGAAGCATGTGAAGTGCTTGGTTCAGGTTCTCTTGTAACTGTATGCCTCCACAGTCCCTATCTTTCTTAAAATATCACTAGGAAGTTCATAACTTGCACAACAGGTGTTCTGTCTTTTTAACCCATACTTTATTGTAAGAATTGCCTTTAATGTCGATAGTTTCATTTTGTTGCGCAATTTTGATTTCACAAAGTTCATATTACTAAATGTGCGCTCTACATCTGCGTTTGAATGCGGAAGAGATAAGGCAGCGAGTGCAATTTCAGCCAGATCATGGTAAGGGTTTTCACCTGTCGCATCTCTGTAATTTGCCACTTCGGACCACAATTTTAGGGTGTTAGATGCATGGACGGGCTGACATCAAGTGATCAGGAAATAGACGTGTCCCTCCTTCTGTACCACGACCCGTTCAAATGTATTAAACTTTTCTTATTATTTATTGTCCCTGTAACCCCGTTGCTATATATTATGGCTCGAAATTAGGAAAACTGAGTTTTCGTGGAGTCCAAAAGTATCCAGAAAGTCGCTAGATTTCTGTGGATATCTCTAGATTTGCGACAAGTCGCAAATCGCTCTAAAATGTCGCTAGAAAAAAAACAAAAAGCTCTAGATCTAGCTACAAAGTCGTGAGGTTGGCAACTCTGCCCCCCCCCCTCCCATCCTGCCGTTGTACACAACCTTCTCACTTCAAAAATGCCCGCCAACTTGCACTTAACCAAATCGACTACTATTAAAATGATCTGCACGGTAAACTAACTCACTTGTCGCTAACCGTGAGTGACATGAGGATTAATTTTACTTAAGGTTTATCCCTTAAGTAAAAAAAAAAAGATAGTAAAGTCCACAATGGCGCGGTTGTAGATAAGTTCGCTCGCCACCAGTGCGGCGGCAACGGCAGCGGCGTCACTTTACAGGCCAAACTTCGGTGACGTAACAATCAACCTCACCCTTGTGACCATGCGCCAGCATGTGCTTCAAGATACTTATCACTTAAAAGGACTACGGAACATTTATTACATATTCCCCAAATTGACGAATGCAAGAAAGATACTTCAGGTAATAAGCTTGTGTCAGATTATGTCATGATAATGTGGGACCAAATGAGGGCGGGCCACTCAGCGAGCGTTCTTTGTGTCAGCTGGGAGACGGTGGTGGTGGGACTCGTCTGTGAGTGTTCTGCATAATGGCCGCAGTGGTCGGGTTCGGACACGAAGGCTTTATTGGTGCGAGGGCGGACAGCAGAGAATAAGGGCACAACCACTTTACAAAAAAAATCAGGATGTTACAACTCCACCAACGTTTTAGTAAAAGCAAACCTGAGCGATTAGAAATAAATGCACTCTTGGTCGGAAGACTGCCAGTGCATCAACAAGCATGAAAATAAGGGTAGTGTGGCTTTGTGTTGATCTGTGACTCAACACGAGACCACCTCAACAGTATTGTACAGTACCACATTCCTACTAATCGTTTCATTACTTCCTTCTTCTGGAAATTCAGACGAACAGTTTTTTCATTCTCCACGCTGTTACTGGTAATAATTTAACAAAGGGTCACAATAGAGGCCTACTGCAGTCGACGAGCGAGAATTATAGTACAAGACACAAATCGTACAACTGAATAACTGGATTAAACGCTTAAATCCGTACTAAAGGACGGCAATGCTGCTTCCTGTAGGCTGCTACACAGAAATGGTGGCCTAACCCGAACTAAAACTGTATTGAATACGGAAACTAAAATGCCATTTTTCAAACTTAAAATCACCTTATAAAAATAGAATTCAAGCCCAGGTTACTGAATAGCATACTCACAGCAGGTACTGGGTCTCAACAATGGTGAGGGCTGGGCTGGCTCCTAGTTCGCTCAGGTCAATTCAGACTTGATAACCCACAGCTCTGCCATCTCCACCCACTAAAAACGCCTGGTGTTGCCAAGTAACACTTTCCACCTCACCTAAGTACCAACAGCAGAATTGGAGTGTTTCAACGCCATTTAACACCGTTATCACTAACAATTAACAAATAAATAATTAGGAACGATAATGTTCTTGGCGACATTTGAACATTTTCTTCTCAGGTCACCTAACTCAAGAGTCAACCAACTGCAAATACTTCACTACTATTCGTGCCATCATCAGCCTTGGATGGTACTTTAACGCTATCACATTACTCCTGGTAGTTTACTCTTGGGGCTTTCTTATACAGCCATAGGCCTCACAGTACCTATGACACCACTAAAGGAGTTATCCTCGAGATAATATAACTCGTTATGTCAGTTAATAACTTACCGGTGTGTCACCCTTTCCCGGAGATTGTCGCACTTTGGAATTTTATTCTGGCTGCCGCCAGACGATTTTATTCTACTTAGAGAAATTTTCCAGACCAAAAGGGTTGAGCCCTAAATTACAATTAACGTTTTTACCAAAATAAGGATAATTATGTTATCTATTGCTAAACCTGATAAAATTAGTTAATTTAGTATTTTGTTTACTTTTATAACCAAAATATACCTAAAGTATGATTTATAGTCTGCATTTTGATTATTGACACCATCGTCCGTCTCTATGCACTGACTAATATGAATTTTAGGAAATTAAAATATAAAAAAATTGAAAATATCACTATTTCCAAATAACTATTTGAGAGCTCCCGGACACACAGACAAACACTTCACAAGTTTTCCATAAGATGACCCCGCTCATATACACACCAACACATTTTACAAGCACTACATGAAGGGAATAACGTGCTGTAACTCTCGAGCCTAATCAAACTGGACCAGTCAACCGCAGACTTAGATACTACACGCAGCGATGATATCTACAGTACTGTAACACTCACTGTAAAAGGCAACAGTACAACGTCACCGCCGATCAAGATTCAACCTCTGAGAAAACAAGTATCATACTGTACTCCTAATCAGTCTTTATTTTAAAGCGACATGACTGTTGTTGGAGAGAAAATATATAACAAGAGCCTTCAGTCAGGAAACACTGACGAGGTTTACAGGAAATCCAGGTGAAATCTGCAAGCTCCATCCGCTTAGAGCAACAAAGGCACAACTTATGTACTTATCTGTTACAGTGATTGCCGACGGCTATACTGTACACGTTACCTTTATTCCACAGTTGGCACAACTGTGGAATAAAGATGTATCTGTATGTATGTTTAATGAGCGTCCAGCCCTCCAAGTTTTAGTGTGAGACCATCACTTGGGTAACGTAACTAAGTATGTTCTACAGCTATGTATATAAGAAAGTATTTACTGTAGTATCATTATTCCGTAAAAAACGTAAATATACAATTACAATGCAATATCGTGTGACTCATATAGCAAAAAACACACAACTTATAAATGGTAGCCATTAGAAAAATCTCTGATGATTTACCTACTGCAACTTTAGTGCACTACAGGAAATGAAATTTCAACGATCATATCGTAAACCGCATAAAAAAACACCAGAATTTAAATAACAGTTACGATATAAAAACATGATACAACAGAACCAGATAGCCCCGTAAAATGGAAACACCGCCCAATCCTGTAAAATCCCAATGGAACACGAAGCTTGACAAATGTACTCGCCTTTCATAACAGCGACGAGCCGTGCACCCTACCAAAACGACACTGCTATGCCCCCCCACCTTCATAGGGTGGAGCTACTGGAAAGGGGAAGGCCACACGTAGAAAGAGTGTGAGTGAGTGAGTGAGTGAGTGGTGAGTGAGTGTGTGTGTGTGTGTGTGTGTGTGGTGGTGGTGAGTGTGTGTGTGTGTGTGTGTGTGTGTGTGTGTGTGTGTGTGTGTGTGTGTGTGTGTGTGTGTGTGTGTGTGTGTGTGTGTGTGTGAAATGTAGAGGATATAAAATCACCATATGATAAGAGTACATAGCATGTGTGGATGGTGACAGGAAGACGATAGGTTGGTGGTCCAGACCAGGAAGCTATGACACATACACCTAAACATTCAACACCAATGCGTTAACAACAATAAATAGGAATATAAAATCGGTCCCGACACGTTGATGGTCACTATTATTGCTCTAATCCAAAATATAAACATAATTCGAAAGATACACTGTCTCAATAGCAGGCGTGATCTGGTGATAGAGAGTAGTGAGCCCCTATGAACAGCAGAGGATTACAATGGAGCTTAAGACTTCTAACCCTCCGTCCTTCTTCCTTCTCAAACCCATCCCCATCCCTCCTTCCATACTTTTCCGGTATAACACACCCCATTTCTCCCTTACAACCCCACCGTGTCCCCTCCCCTTCCTGTCCCTCCACCCATAACTTCGTAATCTGTTACTCTGGCGTTTCGTGTCATTTCATTCTTGTTTTACTCTGACCCTCCCCGCTCACAAATTTGAATGGTTGCGCCCTGTCCCTTTATAGGATGTAAATAAAGCCCGGCCACGCGCTGTGAGGGGGAGCCTCTTCCTGGGTGAGCCGTGTTGCTAGAGATAAGCTGCGCCAGATGGGTTGTTGTGTGGTGCAGGCCGGCCACGGTGCACGCTGCCTTTCCTCAACCATACCTACCACCATAAATGGTCAACGTGACCGTGTTGGTGGTACCCGTTCGTAGCCTCACGTGTCTGGAGGATTATGTAGGGCTGTGTTACAGATATGGAAGCATTTCGCCAAAGCCACAACCTTGCACGAAGGCGTGGTGACGAGGCTGCATGTCACCCAAAACACGACATTGAGACGTGGGGTGATGGCGAGGAGTAATTTGAAAATTAAAAAAAAGGAGGAAAAAATTTTCAGAAACCTGCGGTGATCATGGAGGAGGTAGCAGAAACATCGGGTGGTGGTGTGGCAGACGACCCCCCCGGCCCCGGGGTGGTGGTGGAGGGGACGGTGGTGCTGGGGTGGTGGTGGCGGAGATTTTGGTGGTGGTGGAGAAAAGCGAGTTGCTGAGGATGGAGGAGACGACCCCGGATATCTGGTGACGAACAAGAACAGTTTACAATTCCACCCACGTATAGACCAACACATACACACACAAACACACGTCGTCAGCCACTTGTACAACAATATCCTCGCCATGGTTTCCACTGACAGCCTGGCAATGTGATCTAACGAAAATACAGGAATATGTTCATAAATACTCGAACACACACTAAAATGCTAGAATATATTTAGCTTATTTAAGTAACAAAAATCCAGTGAACAAGTGGACTGGAAATACAAAGTTTATTAAGAAGACGACTCCAAAAGGTGTTGGCAACAACAACAACAACAACACTGTTGATGCCAAACATCACATAAAATGGAAAAGGCGGTCATGAGGCATGCGATTAAACGCAAGAAATGGGTGGAAGGCTACAATCATCCGTACACTTAAATAAAAAGTCAGAAAATACAATTTGGGTTAGATATTTAACAAGACATTCCAATATGTTTCGGTATCAAAACTTGGCCAGCTCTGAACATCACTCTTCGCATGCAACAATATCCATCTGCTGCTCTCAGGGGTGACACCCGAAAGCCGAGCCAACAAATTTTAAACTTCAGATGAGACAACACCTTATTATTCAACACAAGAAAAACATCCAGAACCAACTGCCTCACAAGTTCCCGGAACACCTGAGTTCCGTTACTGTTACGTAGGACAAACTTCCCTCGCCCAGCTTAGACTTATAGTATGATACACTCAAGAGTCTGTACACGCCCAGTACCTACCAACAGTGTTCAACAACTCGACATGCTAACACGTGCAACACTGCTGCTAACAATATTCCACGAGTTCTTTTAATGAATTTGTAATTCAAATAACACGGCAATATATCATAACACTGCCTCAGTCTACGTCTGGCTATCTTGTTGCCTCCTTCCTATAACTTTCTCTGGTCTGTTGGTTTTTATTACCTGGGTAATATCAGTAACGTGGTCATGAGGTTGGAAATATTTTCTTTAATAAAAACCAACTTTACAGGTCTTACAAGTATGACCTGTGCTCGTTTGTGCTGGTGATATAATAGTGAAGAGTAAATTATTTCCCGAAAAAAATTTTTTGTAAGTCAGCAACAAGACATCCAACCTATCAATACAATCACACAAAACAAAAACGATCACAAACAACATATATGTCATAAAGCACTAACAAGGTGCAATAACGACAGCTGTCAAACACACAACCAACACCATACGTCTTACTCAGGTTACACTCAACAAACACCTAAATATTAACACAACCAATAACGCGCCTCCACACACAGTATTAGGAGGTACAGTAGTTAAAGGTAAGGATGAGCATGAGACGCTCACCTGTGTACTGTATCTATACCTGACGTAGGTACCTTGGGCGTGAACACACCCCAGACATGTGCCACTAACAAGTACCCAGGAAATGTGAACAAAGGTAAGTTTTTATTGTACGAATATATTACAAATACCCGATACATAATCCAACAAAAGTCACACACAAAAAACGCGACCAAAACAGCATCAGAAAAATCCTTATATATAAAAAATACCAAAAAACACGACGGTATACAACAAAACCGTATTCTCTACAACTAAATACGACACCATGACACAAAACCGCACACTCAAATGACAAAATAATGTAGATAGAAACCAAAAAAACTAATAAAAACCCGTAAATCCATAAAAACAAGATACAAAGTACGGATATATTCCCTTTAGGACAATACCAAGTTGTACCAGAAACAACACGTGAACTATAAACACAATAGGCACCACGGATAGATACCAAAACACATTACAGTATATACAAATAAAGTAATGGAACACAAGAACGACACAAAAGGCGACACACCATCAAAGCTACGCAATATACCCGGTACGCCTCAAACACACGACGCAGAATACTCACCTACTGACAGGGGAGCGGCAGGCAGGCGAGCAGACACACACACACACACACACACACACACACACACACACACACACACACACACACACACACACACACACACACCGCAAATTATCGGTATACAATGAACCATAAAAAACGAAATAAAAAAGTGTGGAAGGTAGTTTGAGTGTGAGTGTGTCGTGTTCCCCCCCTCAACATCCTGCACCTTGCTTGACTCATCATGTGTTGTGTGCATGTGTAGCCTCACGGGGGACAGCTCTAAGGACGTGTCCACTCACCCTCCTGCTGCGACGTCACAATATCCCGCTTAGATGTCATGACGTCATTACCTTCCACTTGCCCTGAAGTCATTAACTCCCACCTATCGTTACGTCATTAACTCCCACTTATCACGACGTCATTAACGCTCACTTGCCATGACGTCACTCCCTTTCGCTTATCTGTTATGACGTCACTGACCTTCCGTTCCAGGTGCCGTGAATTTACTCCTAAACCAATTTTGTTCCTTCCGTGTATAAGTTTACCACCACCCAATCAATAATGGCACCATGAACTGCTTCCTCCTCCTCCCACCACCCAATCAATAATGGCACCATGAACTGCTTCCTCCTCTTCCCACCACCCAGCAATAGCGCATAAGATTGTACTCTTCCTCCCACACCAGTAATATTGCTTTGAACTCCCCCTTCCTCCTCCCACACACCAATCAGCCAGCACCATGACACTTCCTCCTCTCCAAATCAGCCAGCCTTTCTGAACTGCTTCCTCCTCTTACCACCCATCCAATAATAGCACCCCAGACTACATATTTACTCCACCACCCCAATCAATAATATTTCCTAAACTCTTCTCTCTCCACCACTGACACATAATAGCTCCACATCTAATCTAAAACAAGTCCTGCTCAAACTTCGTTAAAAAGTATTCTAGATTTTATTCCCAGGCTTTTAAGACCACCTGGTGACACACACACACACCTACACACACACACACACACAGGTTGCATCCAGTCACAAGAGCCAGGGTTTGATTAGCTAATATTCCCAAGGATTCGTTATAGGATTGGTAGAGAAAAGCAGATTAACAGGCACGATTGTTTCTCCGGGGAGCTGATTTGATTATACTTCCAAGTCATCCGAGTTTTAAGCGTTTGATAAAAAAGTAAATGGACGATACATTGTAAATGTAGATGGCTAATACTTCGAGGTAATACTTATACAAATAACAATAACAATAATAATAATAATAATAATAATAATAATAATAATAATAAATATAATAATTACAAAAATAATATCTCCTGCCACCCACCCCCACGAGTGTATACCATCTGCTACGTTCTAATACTGGTACGCAAAATAAATGTTCAAACTTCAAGGACAATCAACATTCACGTACAGTGAACGTTCCTCCCCAAAGATATTTCACCAGTAACCAACATAAACAAACCATTAACGTTAACCAACAATTAACGTTCACGTCCAATCACGTGCACTAAATTCAGCGTTCAACCGAAATCAACACTCAGATCCAACGTTCAAGTACAATGAGACCACAGACCAGACTCCGCACCGCAAGCTACTCAGCCGCCTTAGTGTCAGCGTACAATTGAAATAATGCTGCCTTAATTTGTGAGGGAAGGAGCGAAAAGTTGTCTGACCTACAACTGGAGACATGTGTGGTGGCGGTACTAACCTACAGCGGGAGACATGTGCGGGGAGTGTGGAGGGTGTGGTGGGTTAGCGCCTGCAGTCAGCGGTGGTGCGGGCGACACCCTCATCCCCGCCAGCTGCAGCTGCTGCTGGTGTTGCTGCTGGTGCGGCGAGCGGGGCTGCTGCTGCTGCTGAGGAGGGGTTGGCAACCGTCCACTACCCTCATGGCCCGTCCCCACCGCCTCCTGCAAAGAACACATGTCAGTCAGTATTAGAAATTATTTTTCTAAGAATATCAATAAAAAGATTAATACCCATAAAAGGGTCATGTCTACAAAACAAAGACGTCACACAAACTGTGTTTAAAATGTTTACGGTATACAGAACTGTTCAACAGGCCAGTGCAGTTTAAGCATCATACGTCACAATCATACACCATACACTACTCAAACTATACCTAAGCATCATACATTACAACACATACCATTCTCACATTCCTCCAACTATACATCATACAACACTACTAACGTGTGTGTGTGTGTGTGTGTAATAATAATAATAATAATAATAAACAGTTTATTGAAACAGTTCTGCAGCCCAAAGGTTGAAAATACAGTATACATTAGACAAAAATGACTATTACATACAAAGACACGGGAAAGCAGGAGCAGCGCCTGATAGGTCTTGACCCTCCGGTGGTCAAGAGAGGCGGCGCAGCGTCAGAAATGCGTAACAATACTTAATAAATCCCCTGTGTGTTGACATAAGACTGACCTTCCACCTGTTGTCACTATGCCAGTCATGCTACTACCCAGCTTGTTTGTATAACTGGTTATTTAACTGACCGTGTTAAGAGATGTCCGGTCACTACGTGTCTCGGGTTATAACATTACTTTCCCGGTCCTTGTGGGAACTGACCACTTTAAGGGCTGTAAACATGGCAAAACGGGGGGGGAGGGAGGGGGTGCAGAATGTAAACAAATAAATAAAAACACGCACACGGGGGAAATAATGGCCGTATATAAAAAGACAAACCCCCTCTGCCCCCCCCCCCTCCCAAGCTTGTTCCCCTCACTACCTCATCGGACGCTCTGAGCACAAGCCACCATGGGCCAGGTTGAATGACACACACACATGACGCATCAGTCGTTCACCAGCTCACTCTTTAAACTAAAAACTGTCAACACACACACACACACACACACACACAGATCAGCGTGATCCGGTACGTGTGTGTAGGTGGGGAGGAGGGGAAACAATTAGAAGCGATAGTGTTATCAGACAGGCATACCAACAACAGTGATAACAGAAATAAACGGTGGGAGTGTATAATGCTCCACCAGTGTAAAGAGAGAGAGAGAGAGAGAGAGAGAGAGATTGATGGTCTCATCGTTCCAAGGTGGTGGTGGTGGATGCTGAATCAAGAAAGGACGCCAGACGGAAGAGCACACACATACACACACCCCACCCCCCTCTACCTTCCTCTCCCTTGTGCCCTTCTTTCCTGGCTCCTCCTCCTGTACCCGTCCCTAACAGAGCATGCCCCCCACCACTCACGTCACAGGAGTACATAATGACACACGAGTCATAAACATTCTTCCCGCCATACCCCCCCCCCACCACACACACACACACACACACTCACACTCAACACTGCCTGCGGTGGAAGCGTGCAGAGGGAGGGCAGGAAGGATGAGGTGAGAGAAAAAGCGAAGGAGGGGTGAAAGCATCCGAAGAAGAAGTAGTAGAAGACGAGGAGGAGGAAAAGAAGATTATGAGGAAGAAGTGGAGGAAGAAATTCGGACCGTTATCACACTCGCAAAAACTAACACCACAACAACAGTCAGACTAGTCACAATGCGTCCTTCACTTACCAATCGTTATTTTTTTTTAACACTCGTTAACACAAACATTCAGTCAGACAAGAGGTAAACGCAGTCTCGCTCTAACAAAACATCTCAAATCAAGAAAGGTAAAAAAATTCGACAGTAGCCCAGGAAGAAACTTGAAAGGATAAGATAACAAGTTGCGTAAGTCTTTCCCATACAAGATAACAAGTTGCGTAAGTCTTTCCCATACATAAACTTCCAAGAGGACCATTACCGAGCAAAAAATTCTATACATAACCTCAAAGACCAAAACAAGAGAACCATTAACACTAAAATAAGAGTTGTACTTCTCAATACAACTGGGAATCAATATTTATGAACTCGAAGTCTATACATAACCCTAAACCATAACAGAAAATAATCACTACTAAATAATATTTTACTCCCCTACAAAATAATATATAAATAAAACAAATCTTCCCCACCACACAACTCCGGGCAACTCGGTAAAATTATTGGCTAGTGTTGCCATCTCCGTTGGCCCCCGAGGCGTGGGCTGGCCCGTGCACCCACCATCCACCATAATAAATGCGACACTGCTCGACCCCTCGGCCACACAAAAAAGTGCAGGGCGGAAGGTACACCATTCCTGCCCAGGGCCGGGCCAGGCCAGTCTAGGGTACCGCTACCACGACCATCCTCACCACAACCACTACCTTACCACCACCACTCTTACCTCTCCACTATTTGTCTTCAACCAGCATTGTCTCTTCACCACGTCATTACCTCCCCCCCCCCCACACACACCCCTTGGATTTTCGAGGGTTCGGGCATTAAATCTCTCCCCCTTTCAAAATAACCAAGAAAGCCTCTTAACCGACTCACGGTACATGTACGACAGGCCACAACGTCGTCGAAATCGTCAGGGGGACAACCACAACAGGACGCGCTCTCGTGTTCCTAATTCCAAGGTCAAGACTTACTGGTTCCTCTGAGAATCCAAACCTGAGGAAGGGGCCGTTCCATTCCCCTTTCCCATCTTAGAGTTATTCCGTTACCCTTTCCCACATTAAGACCTATTCCATTAACCTTTCCCATCTTAAGAGCTACTAAATTATGATATTCCATGCTAGAGAGTTATTGAACATCCCTTTGATATTTTAAGAGCACCTTCCACAACATCACAGCTCTTTCATCTTGAAGCACACCTTTAAGCTTCCCCTCTTCCAGTCACTCCACAACCTTTCCATCTTCAACAGGCTTCCCTCTGTTCCCCCTTACCAGCCATCAGCACCCTCACACACCATCTACATGTATCCCTCTCCCCTTCCTCCTCCTCCTCCCCTGCTCTCCTACTTCCGTTATGCAAATGATACATACAAGCACGCACCTCACACGCACACACACAAACCCTTCTTCCCTCCGTCCTCCACTAACCCAATCTTCGTTCCTCTTCCATATATCTCCCTCTCGATCTCTCCCTCTCCCACCCTCTCCTATTCCTCAGCATTAACACACACAGCAATACCTCCCCTACCTAAGCTCCGATTCACTCAAACACTTTCACTCACTATCACAAACACAGACGATCTAATATCACGTTGCCGAACTGATCAGACAAGCTGGGGCAGGTAAGAGGCAGAAGAACAGGTAGGTAGGCAGGTATAAAGGCCAAGGGACCTGGTGGCAGATGGGCTGGCGGGAAGAGGGAAAAAACGGCAGACTCACAGGTAGGAAAGGACGAAGACAGGCAAGTAAAAAATGGGAGACAATCAGGTAAAAAGGGAGGCAGACAGGTAGAGAGAGGGAGGTAAGGAGAAAAGCTAGGATAAAGGTAAATAGGAGAGAGGAGGAATAATGACAGGGAGGTTGGAAGACACGAAAGAAGGTAAGAGTGCTAAGAGAGGCAGATTGGAGGGAAAGGAAAACGACCAGACTTACACAGTGACGGGAGGGGCTAATTACGACTGTGGCAAGATAAAGTAATTTTTTTGTTACATACAGGTGTGTGTGTGTGTGTGTGTGTGTGTGTGTGTGTGTGTGTGTGTGTGTGTGTGTGTGTGTGTGTGTGTGTGTGTGTGTGATAACAATAATAATAATAAACGGTTTATTGAAAAAGTTCTGCAGCCCGAAGGCTGTAAATATACATTGGACATAAATGACGTATTACATACATTGGTGGTTTAACAAAAGCCTTCACTAGAGAAAGGTAAAAGAACATACAGTGAACATACAGATTAATGTAGGTGTTGAACAGCAAACTCGTAGTGTAGTAACTCTCTCCCAGATAGTGTTAGGAGGGACCTCACGTGGTGTAGTAGTTCTCTCAGATGTATGTGTGTGTGTGTGTGTGTGTGTGTGTGTGTGTGTGTGTGTGTGTGGTTCTATAGTCGATTTGTATACGTGTGTCCGATAGTGTGGTTGTGTAGCTAGCAAAGGGGGGGGGGGAGTGAAGAACTGTTTGAACTGATTTAAATCGTGTCATAAAAATTATAATGAAATCACAAGTGCACAGAAATCAATCATATGTGAAAAGCCATAAAAATACCAATGAATAAAGCTGTGTTTCAGGTTAACGTCTTATGCAGTACTGTGTTAGGGTCAGATATGGAGAAATAAAACTACTGTAATTGAATTTGCTTTAATAAGACCAAAATGTACGTATTGTAAGGAATTCCTTAGGTAACTTTATAAAACTGGAAACAATAATATCACTTCACTGCCAAAATTCTCTCGATTGAAAATAATTGATTATTCACTTTTAAGTCACAGCTGCTATTTTTAGTCATTGATTAGTTAATGTGAAATTGAAAAGTAATTTAAAATGTATGTAATCTGAAAATATTCATTTATGACACTTTAACTTTTCAAAAAAAGCTTATTTCATTAACTGTTTTAAATCATTTTAAATAACTCGTGCATACCGTGATGGTGAGGGTGTGACGGGCCTTACCATATATAAACCACCTCACTGCAGAGGTGAGGAGGACGCGTTGTGATGGACCTTCAAATGTTTGTACATTAACTATGTCTTCTACCCGGAGATGTAACCCGATGTACTCGTATTGATGGTATAAAGTATTACTGTGCTTCAACAACTACCATTATCCATGAACAACTACGTTGGATTGGCCATGTTACCCGCATGGACGACAGTAGACAGCCAAAGTACTTTGCAGTAACCTAACGAATAGTAAACATAACGCCAGCGGGCAATTGAAAAGATATAAGGAAAGTCTTAAGACAAACCTGAAAAGGTGCCAAATCGACCCCGTCACCTGGGAGTCGATTACTCCACATCGTAACGCTTGGAGGAGCACCACACGAGAATGTGTCAATGCTTTCGAGTTAGCCCGACTGCAAACCGAGGCAGACAAGCGCCAACGTCGGAAAGACGCTGCCACTGTCCTTCCCAC